GGAAGCTGCTCACCTATAACTGTGCTCACAAAGTCAGCCAGAGCTGGAGGGGGCTAAAGGGGTGGGGATGTGTGTGTGTGTGTGTCTGAGAAATGCTACATTTGGAATAAGGTTCAGGGCAGAGAGAGTTACTAAACCCAATCCTAGAATGTAGGCCATCCCTAGAAAATACATTCCAGATAAACACTTTATTTACCTAAAGAATACCACTTCCATTAAATATTTACCTGCTATATGTGAAAAAACAAAGAAATAAATAATTATGATGTCAAGACTCACTGCTAAGCACTTGATAGATCTCATTTAATCCTCATAACAACCCAGTGAAATTGGCACTAGTATTATCCCATTTCATTGATGGGAAAACTGAGGCTTAGAGAAATTAAGCAACTTTCTCAAGGTGACAGAGCCAAGGAACAAGAGAACCAGGTTTGTCCCAGGTCTGTCTGACTCCAAACCCACGTTCTTAAGCACGACTACCACCCTGCCTCCATTGAGGCTGGTTAAGGATTCGTTTCCTAGTACCAGGGGTGAAACAGGGGCAGGAGCTTTTCTTCTAAAAAGTGGGTCCAGCCTTGCCAGAGGAGAGCAAAACAAAAGCAAGTTTTATGGGCGGAGACAGAGCTGCTGCCTTGAGAGAGGAAGGGTTCAGCTCTCACCAGTACAAACGGCGGATGGTGCCCCCTGGTGGTGGTGGTGGAGAAGGGCAGTGGGTGGGAACAAATTGGAGCTTGGGGTTTGCCAGTTAGTGGGGGGGACAGATACAGAGCAGTGTCGTCCTCGGAGCAGAGAGCTGGTTCCACTGAGTCAGCCTGCCCCCAGGCAAAGGGCCAGAGCACGTCTCCCTTCCTGGGGCCCACGGGGTGCCAGGTCAGCCAGGCACTCATCACAGGTGACACAGGCCAGTAACCCAAATGACATCACCAAACACCATCCACAGTCTTATCCTTCAAACCTAGCCTCTGCACCTAAATTCAGATTCCTGCACATACCATACTGGCATCATCTTGTTTACAATTTAGGGCCTAGGATTTGGGCTCATTTAGAGGCAACCAAAGGGGAAGCCCTCACGCCCGGTTTGCTTTTGCTTAGGGACCAGCCACCACGTGGGGGATTTCCTGCGGACCCCAACCACGTAGCTCCCCAAGGCCCAACCTCAGGGGGAGTCAGACAGGGGCCACTTACAAGATAAGATAGGAAGTGCTCTGTAGCTCGGGGAGCATAGAAGAGGGGTGAGGGATTCTGCTTGGTGATTTGGGGAAGGTTCTGAAAACATCAGGATACCTCCGGTATTTGTCCCACCCCTGTTTTGAACCTCTTGATCAGGCATCACGAAGTGTGTTGACTCTGGGAATAAATACAGAAATGGAGCCGATAAACTGAGTCTCTGAAGGTGTCTCTCCATATCACCTGCAGTGTTTTTCCTCAATCTGTAGGAGGCCCCCTTCCCAGGGAGGCAGCAGGGTGAGTGGGGTGGCAGGGGAGTCAGGATGCCTGCGTTCTATTTCCAGCAGCTACCACTGACTCACGGTGTGACCTTGCTGAGGTCACAGCTATGTTTTCCTTGCTGGGGGAAAATCAGAGGTGGCAAAGCTTGCATTTTCCCAAGGCATGCGAGTCTTGGAATATGGCGGGCCTCTCTGCTCCCCACGAGCCCCAGCCATGTCTGGTCCTTCTGCTATTCACGAAAAAAGCCTTTCGATTTGGATTCAAAGCACTTTGGGGGACACAAAGCAAGAAGCAAGGCGTTCCTGCCACAGCAAGACTTACGGCCACTTGTATATGCAGTGTCTCTCCAAACACTTTTCAGCTCACGTTCCAAACCAATATTTCCCCACGTGGCCTTCACAGTGGCTGTGGAAGGGGAGAGGGAAGGTATTTTCTCTCTAGTTTCAGGATGAGGCAATCAAGGCCGAGAGTGTCATTTCTCAACATTTTCATTACTGGGGACCCCTTTGATTCTTTTACAACCGTGCAACCCCCTGTTTTGCAGGCCCTTGCTAAATGCTCTGAACTTATTAGGTAGAAATTCATCTGTTTCCATTAATCAAAGTCACCAGTATTCTGCTCAACACAGAAGAACTAGGGCTATCACTGAGTTCGTTGCCAAGAACTGCGGCATTTGCTCTGGGTGACCTCCTTACAGGAAAAGGCCCAATTTTCACCAGAGTTTTTGAAATTCTGAAAAGAGTTGATCCTTAGGGGGCCCAAGGATCCCCGACTGGGAAGTATTTCCCTAGAGAGGTCAAGTGGCCTGTGAAAGGTTCTGTGGCTAAGGGTAGGTCCAGGACCAGGTCCAGGGGCCTGACACTCCAGCCAGGGCTCCAGCCTACCGGACCACTTGGCAGGGAGGTATGGTGCTCTCAGACACACAGGCCCAGGTGGGCACGTGTGTAGGATGGCAGCCCAGCCAAACGCAGATGCCCCGAGCAACGATGCTAGGGTCTCAGACGGGTAAGGAATAGGTTCCCCTCAGTACTAGAGTGAGGGACCAGAGCCAAGCCTGAGGCTGGAGGGGTGGAGGGTGTAACAGATCGTTCCAGGGTGTTCCTGGAGAGTTGTAATGGGGGGACCCGTTTGTTCTGCCACCTGCCTTTGCCTTGACACGGCAATAATGCATTATTTATGCAGCCTGGGGTGTTCACCCACTCTGGGACGATTCAGACATTTCCCCCAGACCCGCCTCATCAAAGGGATGAGACCAGAATGAGGGCTGAGCCCTTGCAGCTGGGGATGACAAAGACAAACTGGGGACCCTGGGAGAGTGGGGACACAGACAGGAGACTCAGGAGGTCTGGTGTGGAGGCCTGGGGTGTAAGCAGGACCCCAAGTGCCTCAGAGCTTCCCTCAGGGCTCTGTACCCCTCCTCACCCAGGGCTCTGTTGAGCCCTTGGCTGTGTTCCAGAGGCTCAGGTTTTTGATCCATCAGAAGGCGTCAAGCTGCGTGTACCTTTGGAAAAAGGCCAGGGCTTAGCTTTGTGGCTTCAGAATTCAAGGCTCCATCATTCTGCATGGGGCCAGGGGCCAGGGCACGGGCTCTGAGGGCCTGCTGCCCAACAGCTGTTCCTGGGTTATTTTGGTCCAGGGGGAGCTTATCAATTCCAGGACACTTGGACCAAAATAGCCAACAGCAGGACAATCTCTTGGTGGCTCTGTGGGGACTTCTCCTTAGAAAAGTTTCTAAATGGGGTTGGGAATGGAAAGGAGTTTGACTTGGGGGCTGGTGAAGGGTCTGAGGCTACACATACCATTCCTTGCTGTCCTTCCAGCCTTGGCACTGCCCTGACCACCTTCCTTGGGGACCGAAGCTGGGGGCTGGTTGAGGATGGAGTAGAAATTAAGAGGGAAAAGATCATTTTTATTTATTTTTTATTATTTATTTTTTTGCGGTACGCGGGCCTCTCACTGTTGTGGCCTCTTCCGCTGCAGAGCACAGGCTCCGGACGCGCACTCCCAACGGCCAAGGGCCACAGGCCCAGGCACTCCGCGGCACGCGGGATATTCCCGGACCAGGGCACGAACCCGCGTCCCCCGCATCGGCAGGCGGACTCTCAACCACTGCGCCATCAGGGAAGCCCGAAAAGAACATTTTAAAACTGTTTCTTGACTCTGTGTTCCTCCCCCAAAGCTGGTGTCATGCATATTACCTTTTCCCATCTTACAGATGGGGCACACGGGGTCCAGAGTGTGGAAGCACTGGAACTGAGGCCACACAGCTGGGAACCCTGGCCTCTGAGGCCTCTGAGGGAGCCTCTCGGCTGGGCCTTGGTTAGATCAGCAGCAGATCCGCGCCCGGGTGGCTGCCAGTTCCCCGACAAACTCAGGGCCAGCGTGGAAACTGCTGACTGGCCCCTGGCTTTCCTTCGGGCCACAGCGGGGGCCCTGGCAGCGCCCACTGGTTGACCCCGCCTGTCTCACTGAGATGGGTTAAGTGCCGGTGGAGGAAAGGTGGAAGCAGGACCAGCCACCCTGGAGCTCCCTGGAGCCCTCTGGAGCCCCGCCCAACCCCGGATCAACAGCCCCTGGCGCGGCCCGCGAGAGCCCGCCGGGAATGCCCTGGCGCAGAGCCAGAGGGACCCAGGTCGCGCTCCCTTTTGCAAGGGGTGGCGCGCGGGGAGCGCGCTTTGGCACCAGGCGGGCGCGGGGGTGCGGGGCGCACGACCGTGACACGCCCTCTGAAATGCACTGGGGCTGGGGGCGCTTGGTCACTGAACTTGGTCGTCGAGTGTTCCGCGCCAAGTCCGCGAGACAGGTCTTATTGCCCGGTGTCGGAAATAAGCTGCCCGGGCGGGGCCGCGTTTGGGACGGCCACTCCGCCACCCCTGCCTCTCTCCCGGGATTTTCCAGCGGGTTAATTTCCTGTTCGGGTAAATCCTTCGCGAGTCCCTCGGCCCTCCCTCCCCGGAGCTGCCCCCTCCGCCCGAGCCTCCCGGGCTCCCCTGGTCGGTCCGCGCTGCGCTCCATCGCCCCGCGCGCCCGGGCGCAAGCCCTCCCCGCCCCGGCAGCCCTCCGGCTCCCAGCGCCTGGCCGCCGGGACCCCGCGCGCCGCCCCGCGCCAGGGCTCG